AGGAATATTTTTAAGATCTATATGCTACTAAATCTGAAAATCTAAAAGAAATGGATGGGTATCTAAAATCATGGGAACCACCAAAACTAAACCAAGAAGACAGGAGATCTACAGCTTAAACAGACCCATAACACATAAGGAAATTAAAACAGTAATACAAAACCTCCTGACTAAAAAAACTCCAGGACCCGATGGAATAAAGCAGAATTCTACCAGATATTTTAAAGAAGATCTACATCCAATACTACTTAATTTATTCAAAAAGGTAGAAATGGAGGGAGAACTTCCAAATTCCTCCTATGAAGCCAGCATCACTCTAATACCAAAGCCAGGTAAAGACCCAAACCAAAAAAATATATATATATTGACTAATATCTTTAATAAACATAGATGCAAAATTCTCAACGAGATACTTGCTAAAATACTTGCGAACCATACAGACACATATCAAAAAGAGCATCCACCATGACCAAATCGGCTTTATTTAAGAGACGCAGGGATGGTTCAATATATGTAAGTTAATAAACATCATAAATCATATAAATGGCTCAAAGACAAGAACCACGTGGTCATCTCAGTAGATGCATTGCAGAGAAGGCCTTTGTCAAAATTCGACATGCATTTATGTTCAAAGTCCTAGAGGGAATTGGACTGTAGGGAACATACCTCAACATAATTAAAGCCATACATAACAAACCCACGTTCAAAATGGAGAAAAACTGGAAGCATTCCCATTGAAATCAGGAACCAGACAAGGCTGCCCACTATCACCACTTCTCTTTAATGTAGTGCTTGAAATTCTTGCAAGAGCAATAAGACAAGAGCAAGACATTAAATGACTAATAATTGGAAAAGAAGAGATCTAATTATCCCTTTTTGCAGATGATATGATATTGTGTCTAAGAGACACCAAAAATTCCTCCTGAAAACTCCTGGAAATTATTAACACATTCAGTAAAGCAGCAGGTTACAAAATTAATCTACAAAAGTCTGTATCCTTTCTATATACCAATAAAAGTGATCAGAGAAAGAGTACATGGAAACATTCCCTGTCACAGTAGCCTCAAGAAAATAAATAAAGATCTTGGAATAAACCTGACCAGTCGTCATAAAACCAACATGGTACTGGCAGAAAAATAGACCCATAGGTCAATGGAACAAAATTGAAGACCCAAATGTGAGTAAATGCAGTTTTAGCCACCCAATATTTGACAAAGGGGCCAAGAATATTCACTGCAGGAAAGACAGCATGTTCAGCAAATGGTGCTGGCAAAATTGGATCTCTACCTGTAGAAGAATGAAACTAAACCCCTATCTTTCACCTTGCACAAAAGTCAATTTCCAGATGGATGAAAGACCTCAATGTAAAGCCTGAAACTCTGAAACTATTTGAAGAAAACATTGGCAATAACCTACAAGATACAGGTGTAGGAAAGGATTTTCTAAACTGGACATCAATTGCTCAGGAAACAAGGTCAAGAATTAACAAATGGGACCTCATTAAACTAAAAAGCTTCTGTATATCAAAGCAGGCAACCAGGGAAGCAAAC